TCCACTACTGAATAGCTCTCACCGTCTGAAAGTTTTTCCTCATATTTGGTGAGAAGCCAATCAAAGCCACAGCACAGCTTGACAACCAACCATAGCTGAGACTTTTTTTTTTTTTGAGGGTCCCAGGATGCTGAATCCCTCTGGGAACATTCACAACTCCGTTTTCCTTCCCTTTCAGATTTCTTCAATGAGAAAATAATAAGAGCTTTGTTGGATCAGACCAACGGCCCACCTTGTCCAGCATCTTCTTCTCACATTGGACAACCTGATGCCCCAAAGCGAAGCACAGAATAATAATAATAATAATAATAATAATAATAATAATAATAATTTATTTATACCCCACCCATCTGACTGTGTTTCCCCAGCCACTCTGGGTGGCTTCCAACTGAATATTTAAAACAATACAGCATCAGACATTAAAAACGTCCCTAAACAGGGCCACCTTCAGTTGTCTTTTAAAAGTAAAAGAGTTGTTTATTGCCTTGACATCTGATTGGAGGGCATTCCACAGGGCAGGCGCCACCACCGAGAAGGCCCTCTGCCTGGTTCCCTGTAACCTCACTTCTTACAGTGAGGGAACCGCCAGAAGGCCCTTGGCGCTGGACCTCAGTGTCCGGGCAGAATGATGGGGGTGGAGACGCTCCTTCAGATTGTGGGCAGCTCCCCACAAGTAATCAATTAGTTGGGGGAAGGGGAACTTTTTCCATAGCAAATGAGTGGAGGCAGGGTGGGGGTGGGGTGGCTGGAAAAGATTAATCCATCTGCCGTTTCAGCTTCCATTAATAAATGTATTGCAGTCGCTGGAGGCGATGGAATTAACTGATGGCTTTGCCCTCCTATTACTGCATCAAAAAATATATTATTTCTGCAATGTGATTGGGGTGGGGCGAGTATATAGATGGTTGACTCTGCTCTAGAATCAATGTTTGTGCATGATTGGGGAGATTGGACGAATGGTTAAGCGTGCCCTTTCGTTTAGGCTTTTAAGAGGCAATTTTAAAGTCTTGTTTGTGATGGATATATTGATTAATGGGTTGTGTAAGTTCTCAGTAATCAGTGGGACCAAGCTCAAGCTCGGTAAATTGATTATTTGGTTGTGCGTGGATACAGGGATTGTTTTCTCTTATTAACTGGTCGAAATGAATTAATGGGTGAATCATGGGGACAACTGATGCACAGAGATTTTTGTGGGTTAATTGTTCTATAATCAAATAATAATATCAAGCAGCAGCTCTGCGAAGGGACTGTAGCTTGGATGAAGAACGCCTGAGTTGCATGCAGAATGCCTGATTTGATCCCTCACATCAGCTGCAGTTAAACCAGGAGAGGGGAGCCCTTTTCCAGCTCCAGGGCCACAGTCCCTCCTGTGCAACCTTCCAGGGGCCACATGCCAGTGATGGGCGGAGCCTATGGCAAAAGTGGGCAGGGCAGTGGATATCCCTTTTATACTCACATTCCTTTTCTGTCCTTCCTCTAGGCAGGTGTCAAAGAGCGAGCTGGCAGTAAATCACACCGTTCAGCTTTGAGTTAAATGCTTATTAGCGCAAACATGATCTCCACAGACTTGGCTGAGTGTCAGGCCTAATGAACACAGCAGCTCAGCCCCAGTAGATCTTGCCCCATGGCAATCAGCTGCTGAAATTGAGAGTCCTTGCCTCCCCACAGCCATCTAAGTCCCTTCCTCTCCAGGGCTTTCCCCAAGCAATCAGAGACTGCGCCTGCATTAAGTCAACCTCTCTTCCGCCCTTTTCATGCCTCTTCTGGTTCTCGGAGACAAGGGGGAAGGGAGCTCATCACAGCAGGAGGGGGAGACACCCAGGACTCTTCACTAGCCAGCCTCATTTCTGCCTCTTGGCCTCCCTCCCACCGCTCTCTTGCCTCAGCTTCTGCCTCCGATTCTGGACTTTTCTCTGTCACAGACTCCCCTCGCTCACGCAGCCCTGTTGCCTCTTCAGCTTCTGACACCTCCTCTTCCCAGTCTTCTCTCTCAGAGGCGTAGGAAGGTCAGGTGGTACCCGGTAAGGAACATTTCTTGTCACCCCCAACACATTGATTTTTAATTTTTTTTTTGCCTGCAAAAATGATTTTACGGTTTCTCATATTTTCTTACAAAGGAATGTGGATTCTGAGCCTCTGATAACAAGTAGACGACTATGGACAGATATTTAAATCTACAGGATGGATTGTGTTTTGGCTTGTGCTATTTTATTTATATTTATTTTTTATTTATTTAATAAAATTTATTTTTAAAAAACTGCAAAGTGGTTTACCAAAACAAAAAAAACAAAAAAACCCCACAAATCAAGAAAAATTAACAATCCTACTTACAAAAGCTAAAATATTAAGATTAAAATTACTTCAACTTCCTAAGCATCTAGGTATGCTTGCTTAAAGAAGAATGCTTTTAGCAGGTGCCCCAAAAGAGTCTATTAAAGGCATGTGCTTTGTCGAAATTTCAGCCTTCACGACATAGGAAGACAGCCAAGTAAAGAGCTATTTTCATGGAGGAGGGTTATGATATTAACTGATATGCATGAAATTTCATATGTAGCTATATAATCCCTAGTGTAGTAAGATAGGAACTTTGGAGCAGGCATTTTTTTTAAAAAAAAGTATTTTATGAACAGCCCTAGTAGGGCAGAGACATCACCTTGCCAACAAAGATCTGTATAGTTAAAGCTCTGGTTTTCCCAGTAGTGATGTATGGAAGTGAGAGCTGGACCATCAAGAAGGCTGATCGCCGAAGAATGGATGCTTTTGAATTATGGTGCTGGAGGAGACTCTTGAGAGTCCCATGGACTGCAAGAAGATCAAACCTCTCCATTCTGAAGGAAATCAGCCCTGAGTGCTCACTGGAAGGATAGAAGGACAGATCCTGAAGCTGAGGCTCCAATACTTTGGCCACCTCATGAGAAGAGAAGACTCCCTAGAAAAGACCCTGATGTTGGGAAAGATGGAGGGCACAAGGAGAAGGAGACGACAGAGGACGAGATGGTTGGTCAGTGTTCTCGAAGCTACCAGCATGAGTTTGACCAAACTGCGGGAGGCAGTGGAAGACAGGAGGGCCTGGCGTGCTCTGGTCCATGGGGTCACGAAGAGTCGGACACGACTAAATGACTAAACAACAACAAAGTAGGGCAGTAATTGTTCCTTGATAATTTGTCACCCCCCCCCTCCATGATGGCACCTGGGGCGGACCGCCCCCACCCCCCTTTCCTACACCCCTGTTCTCACTTTCTCTCTGACCACTCGTCATCGTCCCACCACCACTCCCTGGGCTCTGAGCCTTCTTCCCTCCATGGTTTCCCGGTTGATTCCTCCCACCATTCCTCTGTACCCAACCAATCCATGACATCATGGTTTGAGAATACATTCCAGCCAGCCAGAAATACTGAAGGTGAAGCAAGGCTAGTGAAAAGTGTAGCCCAGGGAAGGCGTGTGTGGCTACAGCAGGAGCGTGGCCCGCAGAGATTCCTAAGGGCCAAACAGATAGACCTGGAGGTCCACATTTGGCCTGCAGGCATGCGCTTCACTACCTCTGAGCTGGTGAGTGGAGAGTGCAAGCCATCTAGGATCCCATTAATTTAAGTGGGTCTACTCTGAGTAAAAGGGATGCGGGTGGCACTGTGGGTTAAACCACAGAGCCTAGGACTTGCTGATCAGAAGGTCGGCAGTTCGAATCCCTGCCTCACAGCACCCCCAGCTCAATGACTGGCCGCAGCCCCGCTGAACTACTAATGGGTCGGCGCCTTGCAATCAGATTGGACCGCCTTCACCCCGATAGAGCTCAGGATGAGGTAGTGGTGGGGGAAGGCAGGAACCCCCGGACCATCGAGGCCCAGGACCCAGTGTATGCAAAGAATTTTGGGGCAGGCCCGGCATGGGTACCCGCCACAGTCACCAGGGTCACTGGCCCCATGTTGTACGAGGTGCTAACGGATGGGGGGCAATGCTGGCGCCACACTGCGACCAGATATGGCGACGATTCCTGGGAGAAAACCAGGAGGAGGAAAGGTCAGAGGAGTCCCAAGGGAACAGAGGGGCAGTGAGGCCCATAGAGCAGGAGGGGCCAGCAGGAGAGGCAGAATCAGTAAATACAGAGAGGACCCGCGAGGCCGAAAGGACACCGGAACCAGAACCACGACTGAGCGAGCCGGTTGCGCCAGACCAAACAGGCCCATCACAGCCAGCATCCTTGGAACACGAGCCAGAACCTGAACCCTGGACCAGGGAACACCACAGGCCGCAATGCACACGTAGGCCGCCGGCGTACCTTGAGGACTATGAATGCGACCTCCCGGGAAGGACTGGAACTTAGAGGGGAGGGGTGTTATGTACTGAGTTGAATAGGATCCAAACTGCAGCAGTCTGATTGGTCCTAGAACAATAGGATCCAAACTGCAGCAGTCTGATTGGTCCTAGAACAATAGGATTCAGAGTGCAGCAGTCTGATTGGTCCTAGAACAATGCAGCAGTATGATTGGTTGGCAGGAACCACCCAATCATGCTCCAGATATAAGTGAATCCACAACCTGATTGGCTTACAGTAGAATTCCAGAATTAGCCAATCATGTGCAGCCCATTGTGTAAATAATGTATATAAAGCAGATACTTTGAGGGGACTTTCATTCATTCCTCCTCACCACTATGAGCTGAATAAAGAGCATGAAATCACTTTGCGACTCTGAGTATATTTCATTACTGCTGTGTTGTTGTTTTTTGTTTTTTGTTTTGGTAAACCACTTTGCAGGTTTTTTAAAATAAATTTTATTAAAAAATATATATATAAATAAAATAACACAAGCCAAAACACAATCCATCCTGTAGATTTAAGTATCTATCCATAGTCGCCTACTTGTAATCAGAGGCCCAGAATCCACATTCCTTTGTAAGAAAATTTGAAATAACGTAAAACTGTTTTTGCAGGGGGGGGGGAATCAATGGGGGGGGGTTGACAAGAAATTTTCCACACCGGACCTTCCTACACCTGTGTATGCTGCTTCCCCATATGGGATTCGAACCTGCGGCCTTGGCGTTACCAGCACCATGCTCTAACTAACTGAGCTACCTCATAGCTCATTATTTCTGGGTGGGGTGGGGAACCACGGATGCTCAGCCTGGCCCTTTGCAGAGTTAGGATGCTTTCGATGGACTTGGGGTGTTGAATTTCCCCTTAGACTGGGCTGCACAGACTGCTTCTCACATTGTGCTCTCTGCCTGCCTGCCTGTCAAACCAACACAGAGATGCTTTGCAAGAGAATTAAGAGCCTGATGTGCTGGAGGAGAGCCTGTCTGAAGGATTCCCGATGGTGCTGGCAGCCCTCAGAGTTTTAGTAATGCCTGAAGCGGAGAGCCATAAAAGTGCAGCTCAGCGCAACGTGCTGACAAAGTGCTTCTGGCTGGTTCTGCATTCCTCACTGAGTTCTGCAGAAACATTGCTCTAATCCTGCAAACATAAGCAGTGCCAAAGGTGTTTTAGGATATGAAAGCTAAGGGGAACGCTGCAGCTACTGCCTTCCTTGCTGCGGGGGGAAAAAACCCCAAACTCTACTTTCTATGTATTTAGGTTTTGAGGCTGGGGTGGTGATGTATTTATATGCCAGGCAAACAGAAGTGCCTCCTGCGCCAACATTCCCCAACCCGGTGCCCTCCAGATTTTTTGGACTACAAAAAGCCCCTGCCAAAGGGGAAAGATACCGGTGCCTGTCTGTTGTGCTTTGTGGGACAAAAGCATAGGAAGATACCTTATAGTGAGCAAGACTGTGGGTTCCTCTAGCTCAATATTGTCCACTGAGGGATTCTGGGGGATTTTCTTGGTCCTTGAGCAAATCAGTGTCTCTTCAGCTAAGCCAGGGTTGGGGATTTAATCCGTCCTCCGTGTGAAAGTCCTTTAGCTATTTGAAGATGGCTATCTTATCTCCTCTTAGTCTCAACTCCCTCATCCCCAACTCCCTCAACCATTCCTCATAAGGCTTAGTTTCCAGACCCTTAATCATCTTGGTCGCCCTCCTCTGCACACGTTTTAGCTTGTCAATATCTTTCTAAAATTGTGTTGCCCAGAACTGGATACAGTATTCCAAGTGTGGTCTGACCAAGGCAGAATAGAGTGGCGCTGTGGTCTAAACCACTGAGCCTAGGGCTTGCAGATCGGAAGGTCGGTGGTTCGAATCCCCATGACAGGGTGAGCTCCCGTTGCTCGGTCCCTGCTCCTGCCCACCTAGCAGTTCGAAAGCACGTCAAAGTGCAAGTAGATAAATAGGTACCACTCTGGTGGGAAGATAAATGGTTTTTCTTTGCACTGCTCTGTTTTGCCAGAAGCGGCTTAGTCATGCTGGCCACATGACCCGGAAAAACTGTCTGCGGACAAATGTCAGCTCCCTTGGCCAGTAAAGTGGGATGAGCGCCGCAACTCCAGAGTCATCCGCGACTGGACTTAACTGTCAGGGGTCCTTTACCTTTACCTTTTTTATGACTTCCCTTGATCTGGACACTATACTTCTGTAGATGTAGCCTAGAATAGCATTAGCATTTTTGCTGCTGCATCACACTGTGAACTCAAGCTTGTGGTCTGCTAAGACCCCTAGATCCTTTTCACACGTACTACTAATAAGATCCTTAATAGATCCTTTTCACATGTACTACTAATAACCCGGGACGCGGGTGGCGCTGTGGGTAAAACCTCAGTGCCTAGGACTTGCTGATCGTATGGTTGGCGGTTCGAATTCCCACGGCGGGATGAGCTCCCGTTGTTCGGTCCCAGCTCCTGCCCACCTAGCAGTTCGAAAGCACTCTTAAGTGCAAGTAGATAAATAGGGACCGCTTTATAGCGGGAAGGTAAACGGCGTTACCGTGTGCTGTGCTGGTGCTGGCTCGCCAGAGCAGCTTCGTCATGCTGGCCACGTGACCCGGAAGTGTCCTCGGACGGCGCTGGCTCACGGCCTCTAGAGCGAGATGAGCATGCAACCCTAGAGTTGGACACGACTGGCCCATACGGGCAGGGGTACCTTTACCTTTACCTTTACCTTTACTAATAAGCCAGGTATCCCCCCCCCCTTTTATATTTGTGCTGCTGGTTCTTTCTGCCTAACTGCAGAAACTTCCATTTGTCCCTACTGAAATTCATTATATAGCTTGGGACCAGTTCTCCAATCTGTTAAGGTCATTTCGAATTCTGATTCTGTCTTCTGTGGCATTGGCTTCCCCACCCCCACCCCCCAAAAAGTTTGGTGTCACCTGTAGATTTGATAAGCATCCCCTCAATTCCTTCATCCATGTCGTTTATAAAGATGTTGAACAACTACAGGCCCAGGACAGAACTTTGTGGCACCCTTCGTGTCCAGATTAGACCAAGCCCACCAATTATTGGTGAATAATTGTCTCACTGCTTATTTAACCTACTGTATATGCAGAATTCATCATGTGAAAGGCTGAGCTGGATGAATCCCAAGCCAGAATTAAGATTGCCGGAAGAAATATCAACAACCTCAGATATGCAGATGACACAACCTTAATGGCAGAAAGTGAGGAGGAATTAAAGAACCTCTTAATGAGGGTGAAAGAGGAGAGCGCTAAATATGGTTTGAAGCTCAACATCAAAAAAAGAAGATCATGGCCACTGGGCCCATCACCTCCTGGCAAATAGAAGGGAAAGAAATGGAGGCAGTGAGAGATTTTACTTTCTTGGGCTCCATGATCACTGCAGATGGTGATAGCAGTCACGAAATTAAAAGATGCCTGCTTCTTGGGAGAAAAGCAATGACAAATCTAGACAGCATCCTAAAAAGCAGAGACATCACCTTGCCAACAAAGGTCCGTATAGTTAAAGCTATGGTTTTCCCAGTAGTGATGTATGGAAGCGAGAGCTGGACCATAAAGAAGGCTGATCGCCGAAGAATTGATGCTTTTGAATTCTGGTGCTGGAGGAGACTCTTGAGAGTCCCATGGACTGCAAGAAGATCAAACCTATCCATTCTGAAGGAAATCAGCCCTGAGTGCTCACTGGAAGGACAGATTCTGAAGCTGAGGCTCCAAGACTCTGGCCACCTCATGAGAAGAGAAGACTCCCTGGAAAAGATCCTGATGCTGGGAAAGATGGAGGGCACAAGGAGAAGGGGACGACAGAGGACGAGATGGCGGGACAGTGTTCTCGAAGCTACGAACAGGAGTTTGACCAAACTGCGGGAGGCAGTGGAAGACAGGAGGGCCTGGCGTGCTCTGGTCCAGGGGGTCACGAAGAGGCGGACACTACTAAACGACAGCAACAATGGTAACACTCTGTCACAGCTTCAGCGGAGTAGGGATACCCCCACGTCGTGATAAGGCATGCCTAGAGTACTTGCTGTTCTGCAGGCACCACACAGAAGCATTCCTCTCCCCGACCGACCCACCCACCCCAATCATAAGCCCCTAATAAGGATTTCAATATGGCTAATCTAATAATCAAAAGCAAACATTGTCATTTGTTTCAATCTGAAACAGATAGAAGGGTGAGTCACCCTTAACTAAGACTAATCCTATCTTACTGCTCCTTTTAGGGCCATAAAAACTCATGGCAATTACATCTGAAGGCTGTTTTGCCTTTTCTTGAAGACTATTTTAAAAAAAATGCGGGGAGAGGATCTGTCATTTCGGTGATGCCTCATTAGAGGAATATTAAGACCTTGGAGACAGGGTGGACAAACCCCTAGCTATGGAACAGGAGTAGGGTAGCAACTGACGCCTTGCAAAATAATGATGATGATGATGATGATGATGACAAAGGAAGGCACAGATCTGCATAAAAAAAAGATAAGCTAATTGAGAAGGATAGTTATAATTTTAGAAATGACTCTGTAATAAACAAAAATCTGCCCTTATTCCCTTATGGGACACAAGAGCCCTTATAGAGTCCTTTGTAGGTTCTCCATCGGCTGGAGAAAATAACTGAGGCCAACCAGAGAATGTTGAGAAGCAAAGCAGCTTGTAAGCCTTATCTTTATTGAACTGTTGCAACAGGGTCCTCACTCACCACACGCAGGAGAAGGAGGAGGACCCAGAACCAAGGTGTGTCCACCCTTATATAGACATTTTAAATTGCCCACCTTGGAGTCCAAGACCACCCCCAGAAACATCATACATTCATCACAGAAGGGGTGTAGCTCAAGACCACCCCCCAGACACATCATACCTACATCACAGAAAGGGCGGTCTACAACAGAAATCTGAGTGTGTTGTTTATCTCCTATCTGGCAGGTTACCTGCTAATGCTTACTTGATTGGATACCCTGGGGAGCCTGGCCAGTCTTTTGTAATAATAAATACTTAGTTCCTGAGCCAGGTCACAGGCTCACCCTATTCATACACAGACATACCCTTAAGACAGGATTTGTGAAGGAAAAGACAATGGGGAGGCTTTTCCATTTTCTTTTGACCTTGTTTGAGGTCAATTTGGGAGGCACAAAATGGTTTCAGGACTTTCTGTGGGGTTTCAGACATGTGGTTTATATAGCGATGTACATGCTTGGTTGGTGCATTTATGAACATTATGTGTGTGTGTGTGTGTGTGTGTGTGTGTGTGACCTTAAATTTTTTATTTCAACAACTATGAAATGAAAAGGAATACATTTTACCACGTGGGGTTGGAAGGATCCAACTAGAGGTTACTTTTGGGGGGCACTTCAAAGCTGGAGCCTGCGCTGACCCCAATTTTTATTCCAAGAGATGGCAAATACAGCAGCTCTAAAGGGCTTTTCTCCTCCATGTTCACAATTCAGTCTGTGCCCAGCCTAGGTCTGGCAGTCTGCATAGGATTGACATGAGGGCTGCCAAGTGATGTACAGGAGCACCCCAAATCCTGAGATTTCAGGGCCCAAACCTGAGACCTAGGGGTGGCACCTTGGCAATGCCACATGGGGGGGGAGGCCGCTGGTGATCCTAACTCTGCACTCCCTCCCACTACTGAGCCATAGAGATGGAGGTTAATTGGGAGAGGGGAGGAGGACGCAGAGGAGGACAGACCCCTCTTCCCTGAGAGTATATGGAGGCTCGGGTGTGAAATTTTTATATATATTTGAAAGCAGAAGAAGAATGCCTGATCAAGTCTTCACAATGAGCCCTACAGATTAGGAACACCTAGCACCTAGCACATGTTCTTCTTCTTCTTCTTTGGCGATCACTCATAGCCGAGTAAGATTGTCATCCATAAACATGATTTTAACAATGAGTCCGTAAGTGACTGTGGAGGCCAATTCTGGATCAACACGTCCTTCCACAGTGGGGACAGAGATTTCCGGGCAGGAGTTGATCACGGTGAGGGTTTGCCAAGCATGTCTTCCTCTTAGCACGTTTCTCCCTTTCATCCTGAGTTTAGGCATCTTCAAAGCCCATGACACCTTTGGTAAAGACTGTTCTCCAACTGGAGCGCTCGCAGGCCAGTGTTTCCCAGTTGTTGGTGTTTATACTACATTTTTTTAGATTTGCCTTGAGACAGTCTTTAAACCTCTTTTGTTGACCACCAGCATTACGCTTTCCATTTTTAAGTTCGGAATAGAGTAGTTGCTTTGGAAGACGATCATCAGGCAACTGCACAACATGACCAGTCCAACAAAGTTGAAGAATGTTGAAGAATCATTGCTTCAACACTGGTGATCTTTGCTTCTTCCGGTACACTGGTATTAGTTCACCTGTCTTCCCAAGTGATGTTTAAAATTTTCGGAGACACCATTGATTGAATCTTTCGAGGAGTTGGAGATGGCATTTGTAAGTGGTCCATGTTTCACAAGCATACAGTAAGGTTGGCAGTACAATAGCTTTGTCAACAAGCATTTTGATTTCTCTGCAAATGTCCTGGCCCTCAAACACTCTGCACTTCAATCGGGAGAAAGCCGCACTCGCAGAGCTCAGGCGGTACTGGATTTCGGCATCAATGTTGGGGGCCGGATCTGGCCGGCCCAATCACCTTCTAAATCCGGTCTGAGGACGGTCCGGGAATCAGCATGTTTTTACATGTGTAGAATGTGTCCTTTTATTTAAAATGCATCTCTGGGTTATTTGTGGGGCCTGCCTGGTGTTTTTACATGAGTAGAACATGTGCTTTTATTTAAAATGCATCTCTGGGTTATTTGTGGGGCATAGGAATTCGTTCATTTCCCCCCCCCCAAAAAAAATAGTCCAGCCCCCCACAAGGTCTGAGGGACAGTGGACCGGCCCCCTGCTGAAAAAGTTTTCTGACCCCTGACCTAGCGGGTCGGCCTCTAGAAATTAGGACAGAAGGCCACTTCTGTTGGGAGGGGGGAGGCTGTATCCCTGCCTAATTTGGAATCTGGGATATCATCCTCTGCCTTGAAACTCAATGTGTATATGTGTGCATTTGTGTTTTTGTTTTGGAGTCTGAATAGATCCATGCCCGTTGCTGAGCTGAAGTGGGCATTGTTATCTGAGTGCCACACTTGGCAGCGATTAGCGTCCTGCGCCCCCAGGATAGCGCTTCATTGTGACGGCAACGACAACCGCTCGGGTGTTTTGTTTCGTTTTGTCCTCTCCCCTTTTGCCGGCTCTTATCTGCTTGACACGGAGCCTCGGGTCCCACAAGTGCTCGTGGGAGACAAGGCGGGCTACGTGCAAGTCCCTCTCTTCCCCATTCCTTCGGCCTCCTCTCTCTTTCCCCACAGAAGGACGGCCGAGGCACTCCAGTTGTGGGCAGCGGAGAGGGGGGCAGGCGGGAGAAAAGAATGGCCATAAATAACAGTGGAGGAACCAGCAAAGAGCCCAGGCAGAGAAGGAATCAGGACCAGAACTGCTTTTAATTAACAATTGAGGCACAGATAACAGTTCGCATCTAAATGCCAAAATGCTAATGCATCTCGCTTGGCTTCAGACAATATAATTGTCCCTTCCTTGTTTTGTTGCAGATCAGTGACAACCTGTCTCTCCTTGGGCCTCAAGATACTGGCCCCCTCCTCCCCTCCCCTCCTGATAAATAAGAGGAAAGCTTGTCAACTTCTCCCAATAAACAACAAAACCTTTTCAAGCCCCACGCTCGTAGCTGGATCCCTGCCAGTTCCTCACGCCATGCAAGGTCTGCTTGCGTTCTCCAACCTGGTGCCCTCCAGCTGTTTGGGGACGGCAGCTGGATTGTCGCAATGTGCTTTACGTGGGCCTTCCCTTGAAGACGACTCGGATACTTGAGTTGGTTCAAAATGCAGCGGCCATTAAGATCTCACATAACCCCTTTTTAAAAAAGGCTGCATTGGTTGCATTTCCGGGTCCAATTCAAGGTGCTCACATGAGTGTTCACAGCCCTAAATGCCTCAGGCCCATAATAATAATAATAATAATAATAATAATAATAATAATAATAATCTATTTATGCCCCCTCCCATCTGGCTGAGTTTTCCCAGCCACTCTGGGCGGCTTCCAATTGAGTGTTAAAAACAATACAGCATTAAATATTAAAAACTTCCCTAAACAGGGCTGCCTTCAGATGTCTTTTAAAAAGAAGATCACTGCTTATTTGCTTCACATCTGAAGGAACGGCATTCCACAGGGTGGGTGCCACTACCGAGAAGGCCCTCTGTCTGGTTCCCTGTAACTTCACTTCTCGCAATGAGTGAATCGCCAGAAGGCCCTCGGGGCTGGATCTCAGTGTCCGGGCAGAATGATGGGGGTGGAGACGCTCCTTCAGGTATACAGGACCGGAGCCATTTAGGGCTTTAAAGGTCAGCACCAACACTTTGAATTGTGCTTGGAAAAGTACTGAGAGCCAATGTAGGTCTTTCAGGACCGGTGTTATGTGGTCTCGGTGGCCACTCCCAGTCACCAGTCTAGCTGCCGCATTCTGGATTAATTACAGTTTCCAGGTCACCTTCAAAGGCAGCCCCACGTAGAGCATATTGCAGTAGTCCAAGCGGGAGATAACTAGAGCATGCACCACTCTGGTGAGACAATCTGCGGGCAGGTAGGGTCTCATCCTGTGTACCAGGTGGAGCTGAAAATACCTGAAAGACTGCCTCCTTCCCTGCAGACCTTCTCAGATGCTGAGATCAGTAGTGGAGACCCTCAGAAGCCCGGTGAAGGGTTGGCTTAGGAGAGGACCTTCTCTGTGGTGGCCCCTAAGATGCGTAACTCCCTCCCCACAGAGGTCCATCTGGCACTTTCATTGTATAGCTTCTGGCAAATGCTGAAGAAACACATCTTTACCCTGGCTTTTGACACTTGGGATGTGTATTTTCAGGAACTGCCCTATTACTATTATGTACAGTTATTTTAAATTGTTTTTGATATTGGGTTTTCATTAGTGTAACACACCCTGTGACCACCCTGGGTGAAAAAATGGGAAAATAATAATGGCAATTTGCATCAGCCCCAGCTGGGTCAGACCCTAGAAGCCGTGAAGGAAGAATGAGCAGGGCATATTCATAAAGGAACACCCAGAAGGTGAAAGGGCACTCTTGAGACTCGCCACTCAGCTGGAAGTGGCTCACTGGGAGAGGAGGCCATTATGGCAGCTTCCCTGTGAATGGGTTGCTGTTTCTTACTGGGGGACAGGGGATGGGGAGGTGGTGGGGAGGTCAGCAAGATGCAAACACACCAGCAGGAGCGGCAGATTGGGTCTGCCAGTGTGTTTGCACTGCGCTGACCTCCTCACTACCTTAACAAGAATGTGAGAATATAAGAAGAGCCTGCTGGATCAGGCCAGCAGCCCAACTAATCCAGCATCCTGTGATAGGATATTTCCGTTCCTCCTTAAAAAGGGAACAGGCTGTTGTGTGTCACATGCCTGTGTACTTCCTGCTCACAGGGAGTTTCCGTTTTGTATATAGCTATTGTTCTGGCTGTTTTTCCTCGACACGGAAGCAAGCAGTCATGTTTTTCTTTTTTTCTGACCAACGTTGAATAAAGCTGTAATTATGCTCTCCTGGGTGAATATTCCGTTGTGGAAACTCTGCGAAAAGGGCTTGCATGAGTCTTGGAATGGGTCTGAGGCTCGTGTCGTTAATTGACTGATGCTGCTTCCATGGGAAACCAATGCTTGTCCGGAGACGACGTGGAAGCATGATGGTCTTTGTCTCCCTGGCAGTATCCCAACATCCTGTTCCCACGGTGGCCAGCACGATGCCCTCATGGGAAACCCACAAGTAGGATTCGAGGAATGATTGTGTTCCTCTCACAACATTAGACCCCATGGACATCCCATGAGGCTGGAATCTGGAGGATCCAGAAAAGGCAAAAGAAAGGACTTCTTCAGATAGCACATAAACTTAGGAACTCCCTGGCTCAGGAAGCAGGGATGGCCACAAATCTAGGTACTTTTAAAAGAGGATTAGATAGATTCACGGAGGAGAGGGCTATTGATGGCCACTAGCCAGGATGGCTACGCTCTGTTGGAAGCAGCAATGCTTCTGAACACCAGTTTCTGGAAACTGCAGGAGGGGAGAGTTGCTCTTGTGCTTGGATCCTGTTTGCGGGTTTCCCACATGCACCTGGTTGGCCAATGTGAGAACAGAATGCTAAGCTAGATGAGCCCCACTAGGCCTGTTCCAGCAGAGCTCTTCTCAGTCCTGTAGCTTGGGGGGGTCACACATTTTCTGGAGGAAGCACAACCAGGCACACCCACAACAGGCTCCCATCAGAGTCTGGCTCTGGTATGTGAGGGAGTTGCCAAGACAGCTTCCTTGTGCCCAGCTGCAAGCTCTGCTGCAGTTCTGCTCCTGGGTCATGTCTGATCCTGGGGGCAGAGTGGAGTGTTGGCTGCAGAGAGCTGCTGCCCCTCTCCTCAACTGGGCTGCACCATGATCAGCTCGGCCACAGCAGAGGGAGGCTGTCAACCAAAGCAGCTCCACTCCCAGGTCAAGCCTTACCCAGGCAGGGAAAGGAGGCTCTGGTGTGCGAGGATGGAATGCAGGTGGCGCTGTGGTCTTAACCACTGAGCCTCTTGGGTTTGCCAATCAGAAGGTCGGGGGTTCGAATCCCCACAATGGGGTGAGCTCCCATTTGCTCTGTCCCAGCTCCAGCCAACCTAGCAGTTTGAAGGCATGCCAGTGCAACTAGATAAATAGGTACCGCTGTGGCAGAATGGGTCTGCCAGTGTGTTTGCACTGCACTGACCTCCTCACTACCTAACAAGAATGTGAGAATCTAAGAAGAGCCTGCTGGCGCTGTGGTCTTAACCACTGAGCCTCTTCGGCTTGGTGATCAGAAGGTCGGCAGTTCGAATCCCCACGATGGGGTGAGCTCCCGTTGCTCTGTCCCAGCTCCTGCCAACCTAGCAGTTCAAAAGCACATCAAAGTGCAAGTAGATAAATAGGTACCACTGTGGCAGGAAGGTAAACAGTGTTTCCATGCACTCTGGTTTCTGTCACGGTGTCCCATTGCGCCAGAAGCGTTTTAGTCCTGCTGGCCACATGACCTGGAAAGCTGTCTGTGGACAAACACCGGCTCCCTCAGCCTGAAAGTGAGATGAGCGCCACAACCCCAAAGTCGCCTTTGACTGGACCTAACCATCCAGGGGTCCTTTACCTTTACCTTTTACCATATCCAACCAGCATGCCACATGGGCTGACCATGTACTGCAGAACGTGCCCCTCAGGATCTTCCCCAACTTAAACTTGGGCATTTAATTCACCAGTCAAGAAGTCTCCCTTTTCTACCTAGTAAAGTTCTCCAGCCTGTAATAGCTTCCTGCAGCCGGCTAAGATCCACTTTCCCCTGCGTGTGCTTCATTTAAAATTAAAATGGAAGACAGACGGAGGGAGAGAAATGCTCAACTTCCAGCAATGCCTTATCGGGACGAAGAGTCCACAGCTGAACAAAAGGACATGAAGAGAAAGAGATTAGAGGCAGGCATTTTCAACAAATATCTTCCTCTGTCACACACGAGGCAACATTCCCCCACACTCTGCAGGTTCCTTTGGACTTTATCAACGGCATCTTTCAAAATGTTGTGAGTTCTGCTGCTCAGCTTGTGCAAAATCCCCAGCAATTCCCCCTCCCCTTTTCTTCGAGAAATCAGCTCAACACATGGAGTAAAGGAGAAGCTGGGAGGCTGCAGTGGAATGCTTACATGGTCTTAGACCATGGGTAGGCAAACAAAGGCCCAGGGGCCGGATCCTGCCCAATCACCTTCTAAATCTGGCCCACGGACGCTCCGGGAATCAGCGTGTTTTTACATGAGTAGAATGTGTCCTTTCATTTAAAATGCTTCTCTGGGTTATTTGTGGGGCAAGGAATTCATTCTCCCCCCCCCCAAAAAAAAATATAGTCCGACCCCCCACAAGGTCTGAGGGACAGTGGACCGGCCCCCTGCTGAAAATGTTTGCTGACCCCTGTGACCTAGACTTTTCATAAGTTGTGGACAGTGGTGGAGGAAGGCTCTCAGGCATCTGGGGTGGTGCTCCCAGGGGCAGGGTGAACCACCCATAGGGGCGGGGCAAACTTCCCATAGGGGCTAGGGATGGGGGGCGCCCATAGGGACAGGCAGAGGCGGAGCTAGAGGCAGCAGCGCATGTCCCGGGGGGTACTATTTTGGTGGGGAGCGTCCCAGTGGGGTGAGCCAGCAGTGGGGACTAAGCTCAACCCCCTGAATCTCAGGATCCACAACTAAGAAACACAAGGCTGTGCTCTGCAGATCGGGGGGTGGAGGTTGGCAGTGGGGCAGATTATGGCACCAGGAGGGTCAGATGTACAGCTTAGGTGTACACATAGGGATGGAGCAAATGGGAAAAGCTCTTGAGCCACTCTTTGGGCTCCCCATGGGCCAGGGATCCTCAAACTTTCTATCCTACGTCGACCCAAGGCCTACTCTTGAGGAGGCTCACAGAGGATATTGTGGTGGGTACAGAAAAGGAATTTGGACCATCTCATGATTGATAATAGACTGCCGGGGTAACCTCAGCCAGAAAGCCACGACAGGCATCGGAGTGTCTTCTTCTTTCAAGTGTCCAATTACAGTGGTACCTCGGTTTTCAAGCGTCTCGGAAGCTGAACATTTCCGTTTTCGAGTACCAAAAACCCGGAAGCAATTGCTTCTGTTTCTGAACGCGCCTCAGAAGTCAAACAGCTTCTGCTGAGTCCCCCCCCCCTTTTCTCCATTGAAATTGCAGGCCGTCCTTTGTGCCTTGGTTTTCGATCCTTTCAGAAGTCAAACGGTCTTCTGGAACGGGTTACGTTCGAAAACCGAGGTTCCACTGTAGTGGCAATTATATCTACCAATCAAAAAGCCATTCAACCTCCTTCAGAACAGGATAGAACCCAGAGGATGCAGGATTTCAAAACATGCTAATAATTGCACTCATCCCTCCTGACTCCCACCACAAGCAGTCTGGATCCGTTCCCAATAATAAAAAATCAAAAATCATTACATATAGAAATCCTAATGCTGTGCACATGGAAGACATTTTGCGTTTGGCAGAGGAGAGGGAACTGGAAAAGAGGGAGAGACTTTATTTTTTCCCTCCTATAGTCATGAGAGCTGCATAAAAGACTCAAGATTAAAGCCTTTGAATAGTTTGGCTATCAAATACTACATGGTTTTTGTTTGCTTGTTTGCTTTAGTGCTTCCAGCAAGGGGGGGAAATGGTGAGTTTTTTTAATATACCTGAAAGAGATTTACTCTCTTTTCTTTTCTCTCTGTGAGATGAGAGGTCCAGGTGGAATGTTTCGTAAGACTAGATGCTTAACATGATTGCCTCTATTATATGTCCCTTTGTAATGATGGAAGTAGCCGTGGCAAATTTCGCAAGAGTTTGAGAAAAAGGGACTCCTCAGAACCTGGCACAACTACAGACCTACGTACTGCTGCACGCCACCCCAATCTTTGAGCATGAGAGATTCCAGGAGTCCAACGTGGCTTACCCAGGGTTTATGCTGCCTTTTGGAAGTCAGGTACAGAGAAGACTGTGGTGTCTTTATGATACAGTGGTACCTCGCAAGACGAATGCCTCTCAAGACGAAAAACTCACAAGATGAAAGAGTTTTTGGTTTTTTGAGTTGCTTCGCGAGACGAATTTCCCTATGGGCTTGCTTCGCAAGACGGAAACGTCTTGCAAGTTTGTTTCCTTTTTCTTAAAACCGTTACAGTAATACAGGGTGCATTGCTTGAAGAGGTGCAGTTGCAACTTGACTTCAGGGAGCAACTCATAGCACGCGGTGTGGAACCCTTTTTAAGGTTTTTGGAGATTTTTTTGAAAAAATTGAAACCATGCTTTGCAAGACAAAAAAACTCGCAAGATGAAAAAACTCGCAGAACGAATTAATTTCGTCTTGCGAGGCACCACTGTATATGGTTTATTTATACGTATATACAACCTGAGGCTATGATGGAGGTGTTCAAGAGGGTCTTGTTTCACCCGTAGGTGCAGACTTGGATGCAAGCAGATACCAGACATTGTACTATGAGCCTCTCTCCAGCTTGCTGCCTTCAACAGCCTGCAACCTTTTTCCATCATGGCCATCTCTAAAACTCTACCTCAGATTCTCCCTTTGTCTTCTAACTAACCCTGAGTTTAAGGAGGGGCGCAGTTCTGTTTCCATGCACTGCTCTGGTTTCGCCAGAAGCGGCTTAGTCATGCTGGCCACATGACCTGGAAGCTGTACGCTGGCTCCCTCAGCCAATAAAGCGAGATGAGCGGCGCAACCCCAGAGTCGGTCACGACTGGACCTAATGGTCAGGGGTCCCTTTACCTTTTAATGGCTCATCACCTTCCTTTTGCTCTCCTAATGGCTCATCCCCAGGTGATTTCCTCATCAGGAAATTGGTCTGGTTTATACTTTTGCTAGATCCAGGGGTTCAGTGTCTGGCACTCAGAAATGCAGGGAGCCTAAAACTGATGACACAGGGATGTATGGCACCCATAAACTCATAACAATGCATAATACATACATACATAATTTTAATTGTATGCTGTCTTTCCATAGTTCAAACCATGCTCAGGGCAGTTTGAGCATGAAAAAAAAATGCATAACCACAACATAACAAAAGTCAGAAAATAAATAAAACTGAAATCCTCATATGAATGACAGTATATAAATTTAATAAACAATAAAAATAATAAAAATGCAATAAAAATAATAAAAATGCAAAATGAAACCAAACGATTGCCACATAAACCACAAGATCTTAAATAAAGAAGTAAACAACAACAGCAGCAATTCCCCCCGCCCAACGATCCCAACACAAAAGTCTGTTCTGGAGTCAGTCTGAGCTCTGCCCTCTCAGGCTAGGTGGAAAAAAGTAAGCAAGGCACAGAGCAGTTCTTCCAGGTCTCACAGCCAAGATAGCAACTAGAGGCAGAGGGTTGAACAGGGAGCGATTGTGCTGGGAAACTACTATTTCCTTGTAGGATAAGATACCAATTGCCTTGAGCAACCAGCACAGCAGCCTGAGGGAAAGTGTGACTCGCTTCCTCTCTGCTAGACTGCAGCGCCCCCACTGCAGATGGCCCAACAGGGTATTGCAGCCATCAGCTCAGTGATGAGAAGACAATTAAGGAAGCCAAGAGGGCTGCAGGTGGTATAATAATAATAATAATAATAATAATAATATATTTATACCCCGCCCAACTGCTGACTGTGGCCTGGCTGTTCAGTCTGAGTAATACATCTCTTCCCAAAGCAAATTTGCTTGCAGCGTCATGGGAACACTGGCTGCCATTGGTTCAGCTGCTCTGATGTCACAGAAGGAAGCCCTGCAGGTCTGTAGCCAGGCAGCTTCAGGGTCAAGAAGAAAGCTTTAGCATTGAAAGTTCATCTCCAGTCTATCACGGTAAATAGTGTGTGCCTTTTTCAAAAGTTTCAGGCCTTGGAGTTTTCCACTGCTAGATTGGTTCCCATTCTCCTCGCCCAGACATCAAGGGCAGCTTCCAAACTGATGCCCCGTGTGCGAGGATTTGATGCTCAAAAACAAACCCACAAAGCAAACCCCTCCAGGGAACACCAACCCCTCCACCGGCAAGACGCTCAGAGACTTATCAGGGGCGGAAATTACAAAGCCAATTTTTTATCTTTGTTCAACAGTCCCTGAGACCCTGCCGTGCTTCTCATCCTGAGTCGCTTTAATTTCTGATCCATTAAACTCAGAGTGTTTGGAGCGTCATGAAAACCATTCAGTTTATCAGCATCAGGGCCTCAGGAGAGAGGAAGGTGTTTCGCAGCTCAGGTCGACCTCTTCTCTTCCCCCGCGATAGTGATGACAAGAGGAGAATTACATTCTCACAGCTTCAGCCCGGCTGCCTGGGCCGACAACCGCTCTGATCCGAGATCTGATAAATTAGGAATCCGCAGCCTCAAAGACTTCCAGAAGAAAGAGAGAGAGAGTGAGAGGTCCATGATGCACAAGGCCGATAACATTATGCTAATGCTTGAAAAGTACTTGTACCCTGGACTGGATTCAAATAAAAGCCAAGGAAATTCTTCGAGAGTTTTTTCACAAGCAGAAATGTTAAAGACTTCAGGCACTTAGAAAGGCATGGCAGGAGGGAGAGACAATTAGAAATCACAGAGACAGTGGCATGGTGTGGGGACCAGGGAGGCCATGGCCCCGGCGCAAAATTCCAGGGGCGCAACCAGGCGCCCCCATGCAGGTGGCAGCTTCTGCCAGGATTATTATTATTATTATTACCCCGCCCATCTGGCTGGGCTTCCCCAGCCACACCAGTGTGGTGTAGTGGTTAAGAGCGGTGGACTCCTAATCTGGGGAACTGGGTTCGCGTCTCCGCTCCTCCACATGCAGTTGCTGGGTGACCTTGGGCCAGTCACACTTCTCTGAAGTCTCTCAGCCTCACTCACCTCACAGAGTGTTTGTTGTGAGTGAGGAAGGGAAAGGAGAATGTGAGCCGCTTTGAGACTCCTTCAGGTAGTGATAAAGCGGGGTATCAAATCCAAACTCTTTCTTTTCCTTCTTTCCAACAAAATATTAAAATACAGTAATGCATCAAACATTAAAAGCTTCCCTAAACAGGGCTGACCATAAAGAAGGCTGATCACCGAAGAATTGGTGCTTTTGAATTATGGTGTTGGAGGAGACTCTTGAGAGTCCCATGGACTGCAAGAAGATCAAACCTCTCCATTCTGAAGGAAATCAGCCCTGAGTGCTCACTGGAAGGACAGATCCTGAAGCTGAGGCTCCAAGACTTTGGCCACCTCATGAGAAGAGAAGACTCCCTGGAAAAGACCCTGATGTTGGGAAAGATGGAGGGCACAAGGAGAAGGGGGCAACAGAGGACAAGATGGTTGGACAGTGTTCTCGAAGCTACCAGCATGAGTTTGACCAAACTGTGGGAGGCAGTGGAAGACAGAAGTGCCTGGCGTGCTCTGGTCCAGGGGGTCACGAAGAGTCGGACACGACTAAACGACTAAACAACAACAAAACAGGGCTGCCTTCAGATGTCTTATAAAAGTCTGGTAGTTGTTTTTCTCATTGACATCTGGTGGGAGGGCCTTCCACAGGGTGGGCGCCACTACCGAGAAGGCCCTCTGCCTGGTTCCCTGTAACTTGGCTTCTTGCAGTGAGGGAACCGCCAGAAGGCCCTCGGTGCTGGACCTCAGTGTCCCCTCTTGCCCTGGCAAAAGTGGCAGAGCAGCCCATGAGAACAGGAGGCAGGACTAGATGTGTCATTGGCAAGGTCCAGCAAGATCTTCATATGATCTCACCTTGGTGGCTCTGCTAGGTCGATGGGTGTTCCAAGAAGTTCTCAGAGCAGATAAGGGTGTTTGCAAGAGGGTTAAAGCAATTCCATTGTTCTTCCCCACAAAGTTTACTGGAAATCTACTGACTCCAGGGCTGCTTTACTACAGGCAATAGCTGTACAGTGGTACTGTTTAAAAAGCAGATTCCAAGGAAATGAGGTCTTCTTCTTTAGTGGTCACTCGTAGCCAAGTAAGATTGTCTTCCATGAACACGGTCTTAACAGTGAGTTCGTAAATGACTATGGAGGCCAATTCTGGATCCACACGTCCTTCCACAGTGGGGACATAGGTTGCTGGGTGGGAGTTGATTACGGTGAGGGTTTGCCAAGTGTGCCTTCCTCTTAGCATATTTCTCCCTTGCATCCTGAGTTTGAGTGTCTTCAAAACCCATGACACCTTTGCTAAAGGCTGTTCTCCAATTGGAGCGTTCTCAGATCAGTGTTTCCCAGTTGTTGGTGTTTATATTACATTTTTTTAGATTTGCCTTGAGACAGTCTTTAAACCGCTTTTGCTGATCACCAGCATTACGCTTTCCGTTTGTAAGTTTGGAATAGAATAGTTGCTTTGGAAGACGATAACCAGGCAAAGGAAGACAAGACAGTGATGTTTGAAAAGCAGCCCAAAACATTTTGCTGCCTGAGGTGAATCAGAAAATACCTGTCCCTGGAAAAAACACAATAGTTTGTAAAGGGTGCTGATCTATCGGGGGGGGGGGGTGTAAAACATAGAAGAGTACCATATTTTTCTGTGTATAACACGCCCCCGTGTATAAGATGGGACTCCAAATTAGGAAAATGGGGGGAAATTGCCCAGAGTTGTTGAGCTTTTTTTGGGGGGGGGGGAACTGCCAAATGTCACTCACCCACCTGACCAACACTGCCACTTGCACATATCGCAAAATCTACCAATCGTCTGCCTGCTTGCCACAAACAGCCGCCAATCACCCACCCGATTGCCGCAGCAACAGCCAATCAACAGCAGACATTGCCGCAACCAAAAATCACCCGCCCAATCGCCGCTGAAAATCTCCTGCTCTCTGCAGCAACCAAACTCCCCGTCCCCCCTATGCACTATCCAAGTATAAGACGACCCCCATTTTTAACATTATTTTATAACAAAAAACCCTCCTCTTGTACACAGAAAAGTACAGTAACTTCCTTCCTTTGCCTCCTGTCTTTTCTGAATCCCAGCCAGCAATAGGCAGTGGCAGGCAAGCTCACTGACCAGCAGGCAAGCTCCTTGACCACCTCCTATGTTCTTACAGTTGTCTCTACCTGCCGTATTTTTTGCTCCATAAGACGCACCTGATCATAAGACGCACCTAGTTTTTAGAGGAGGAAAACAAGGAGAAAAATATTCTGAACAAAACAGTGGATGTATGATTTTTGTGGTTCATGCTGTGGCCACAGATATGTGATCTGATGGTAAATTTGGGGTGACCCAATGCAAAAATCCTGAGGATCCATGTGGATCTGTGATTGTAACCACGGTTTTGCGCCATTGCAACCCCAGGAAACAGTGGATGCGTGATTTTTTTAGTGCAGGCTGTAGCCATGGACATGCTATGTGATCTGATGGTGAATTTGGGGTAAATCTGGGGTGACCCAATGCAAAAATCTTGAGGACCCATGGACTTTTACCTCCCCCCTCCCAGGCATCCTCCGCTAGCGTCCCTTATCTCTCTTCCAATCCACCAATCAGCTGCTTCCCTTCAAGACCCCCTTCCCTCTTATTTGCCTTAGTATCTTTTCCTTAGCTGGAGCAATTTTTTGCACCTCCTTTTCTTCTAATTTCTCTCCTTATTGCTTTAGTCCTCCTGCTTCCTCCCTTTGCAAGTTTGCTGTCTTTAGCTCCCCCCTCCCAGGCAGCCTCCTTTATCTCTAGCGTCCCTTATCTCTCTCCCCGATCGGCAAACAATAAGCGGCTTTACTTCAACACCCACTTCCCTCTTTCAAAAAAAAGAAAAAAGAGGATGATCTGCTTTTTGCCCCTGGGCAATTTGGCTCCCCTTGGGACGCGGGTGGCGCTGTGGGTAAAACCTCAGCGCCTAGGACTTGCCGATCGTATGGTCGGCGGTTCGAAACCCCGCGGCGGGGTGAGCTCCCGTCGTTCGGTCCCAGCTCCTGCCCACCTAGCAGTTCGAAAGCACTCTTAAGTGCAAGTAGATAAATAGGTACCGCTTTATAGCGGGAAGGTAAACGGCGTTTCCGTGTGCTGCGCTGGTGCAGGCTCGCCAGAGCAGCCTCGTCACGCTGGCCACGTGACCCGGAAGTGTCTTCGGACAGCGCTGGCCCCCGGCCTCTAGAGCGAGATGAGCACGCAACCCCAGAGTCAGTCACGACTGGCCCGTACGGGCAGGGGTACCTTTACCTTTACCTTTTTAATTTGGCTCCAGGGCTGACGCATTCACTCCTTAAGACACACAGACATTTCCCCTTACTTTTTAGGCAGAAAAAAGTGTGTCTTATGGAGTGAAAAATACGGTAAGTCACCGCACAGATGGGGTGACTAACTCCCTACCTGCCCCAGAACTGAATTAGAGGGCATTCCAGGCAGGTCTCTTGGGGTTCTGCTCTTTCAATGACTCACTTGAATCCCACCCAAAGATGCATCTCAAAGTTGAGTATTCTGCTCTGAAACGATCTCAGGCTTTGGGAAGACTTTTGGGGGAGCCAAGTCAGCAGGCGATGTCACAAGCAAAGGAGCGGAAGTCCATGTGTCCCGCAGATGGCAAATCTCTGTGCTTTCAGGCTGGGAACAAAAGGCAAGGCGCTCGCATGAAAGGGAGAAAATGGGTAGCGTTTCGTGCAAGCTACGGTAAATGCAAATGAGCCCGGCAAATAAAGACGCCTTTCTCCTTGCAGTCAGGAGAACATTCCTCAATCCCGCTATCTTATATAAGACAATCATCGCCTTTATGTCTTTTTTTAAAAGGCCCTGTGTGCAGGAAGCATAATCTCTGCCATTTCCCAAAACTAAATATACTTGCGGATTTTCAACATCTGCGGGTTGTTGTTCTCTTCCTCTTTAGGATGAAAAATATTTGCAGTGTGAACTGATAGCCCCACTAAACTTTAAAAATAAAAACAACGGGTTGCATAAGGAGTCTGTGTGAGGTGTGCATACAAGGGGGCAAACTCTTTTTTTTTGGAAATCATTTTTATTTGATTTTACAAATATGAATTTATAACATCCTAAATACATATCCATATATAGAAAGTACTCAGATTCTCAAGACTTCCCTCCATCCCCTCCATGGTCCTGTTGTCAACATTTACAAGTGCATATGATTCCATATTCTATATTTTATATCAGTCCATATTGTCCATGGTATTTGTTACATTACAAGTGGGTTTCAAATTCTGCTAGTCTTTCCATCTGCATACAGTGGTCTCCTAGATAAGTTATAATTTTTTCCCATTCTTTTAAAAAAGTTTTTGTCCTCAGCCAGTGTGGTGTAGTGGTTCAGAGCGGTAGACTCGTAATCTGGTGAACCGGGTTCGATTCCCTGCTCCTCCACATGCAGCTGCTGGGTGACCTTGGGCCAGTCACACTTCTCTGAAGTCTCTCAGCCCCACTCACCTCACAGAGTGTTTGTTGTGGGGGAGGAAGGGAAAGGAGATTGTGAGCCGCTTTGAGACTCCTTCGGGTAGTGATAAAGCGGGATATCAAATCCAAACTCCTCCTCCTCTTCTTCTTCTTCTTCTTCTTCTTCTTCTTCTTCTTCTTCTTCTTCTTCTTCTCTGGTTTCCTGAGTTTTCCTTCATTGGAGCTTTTTAAACAGAATTTTTGGGGAGCCACCTGTCAGAGATTCTATAGCTGTGATTTCTGGTTTGGCAATGGCTTGGACTAGACGACACTTGGGGTCTGAAATATACTCTGAGTCGAGAGTGGATTTCATGCTCTTTATTCAGCTCATAGTGGTGAGGAGGAATGGAAGTTCCCCCAGAATGTCTGCTTTATATACATTATTTACACAATGGGCCCCATGTGATTGGCTAATTCCGGGATTCTCCTGTAGACCAATCAGGTTGCAGATTCCCTTCCACCTGGAGTTGGATTGGGTGGCTCCTGTGGACCAGTAAGACTGCTGCATTCTGGATCCTATTGTTCTAGGACCAATCAGACTGCTGCATTCTGAATCCTATTGTTCTAGGACCAATCAGACTGCTGCCTTTTGGATCCTATTCAACTCAGTACATAACAGGGTCTCTACAATTCTATGATTCCATAATTCTATTGTTCTAATGCTGGACACTTTATTTGAGTCTGAGAAAATAATTTAAAAAAGAATACTATGCTGGGGAAAATAATGAATTTAGCGCAACATTATCATATTGGCTGGGGCAAAGATTTATTTATTCCTCTGTGTCATCAATTGGTTTTAACCTCCTGCTGTTGTTATGTATTTTTAAACTGGCTCAGTTGCTTTATGCTTCTTGCATTCTCCTGTTTTAATAATGTAATTGGTGTCTTGCATTTGTTTGTATCTATTTTTTATTCTGTGTCTTTGATCTGGAATCCTCCCTGGGGGTCCCTTTGGGGACTGCAAGGCATGGTGGAAATTTTCCAGAATAAAGCGTTATCAT